CCACCGAGATCTACACTCTTTCCCTACATGACGCTCTTCCGATCTATGCGTTTTCTTTCCCGTGGCACTACCTCCCCCCCCCCCCCTCGTTATGGGTCATGCCTAAGCAAAACCCTTGCCGAGGCAGCGAGGGGAAGGAGGGGGGACCATGCATGTACGTGAGAGAGGTGTCCGGCCCTCTGCCATCACCACGGGCACCCCAACATAGACCCTACACCCCAACCTGAGACGGGTGCTTGGTTGGTGTGCCCTGGGAAGGTCCTAGGTCGGTGCTGTCACTTATATACGTCCAGCGGACACCGGAGTTGGTTCTGTACTACTGTAAGCAGTTGTGTCCGAGCGCCTCAACACAAGCAGACAGCATGCAAACGAGTCCATGTGGGAATGTCCCTCACGGGTATCCTGTAGCGCGAACAGCTTCATGCACGTGGTATCGGGGCGAAAACGACAGGTGGCGTGCTCTTCACTCTTGACTCGGACGAGTGCGTTCCTGGGTTATCCTACACCTTACAGGGGACCACTGCCGGCAACACCGCGACGTTCACAAGGAGATATGAAAGCACGGACGGAGGCTCCGTGGCTCCACGCCAGGAACACCAAACCAGGGTACATCTTAGCTGAATACTCGCTATCCCGGCATGAAAACGGGGGTACTCACCACCAAGCAGTACGATGTCGTCGGTGTATGCGTATATCGGCGTGTGTCTGGCCTACAAGGCGTGTTGTGGCAAGCGTGTGTGTGTAGCCAGCGGAGAGCAGAGAGCAGGATGTGGGGGAGACGCCGAATTATGCACGTATGTCATACTAAACGAAATAGCCCTACTTGGCGCCCCCCTCGTCGTGGTGCCAAGCCGCCACCGGGTCTGCGGGTGTAGTATCGGTACGTTTAGTAAACCGTCATGGCGAAGGTGAGGGTTGGTTGTCCTCATTAGATGTATTCCTGTGACTTCTTGTATTACTGGGCACGAGCTTGCGGAATCTCTCTGTCTCTTTGTTGTACGTGAAGGCTCCTTTTCCCGCCCGCACGCAATCGCAGCCGCCCGTGCAAAGCTGACAGTCCCGCCGACAATAAACTTCAGTACCAGGAGAAAGGGCGACAGAGAGGGAGTGCGCGTTGCTGCTGTTGTTCTTCGCATCCAGCAGGAGTGTCCTACTACAGAATGTACAGATCTTTTATACCAACCTGAGGGATGTGCGCGCATGTTCTCGGCACTCGGCCCGTTGCCCTTGCCGCTGTTGTATAGGGTTCCTTCGTATTAGGACCGCCCTTTGCACACTTCTGTTACCAATTGCTATGACTTGTCGAGTGAGACGTTTATTGCAAAGCACCGCAGAGGAGTTGTTTTATGTAATCCCAGATCGGAGCGCTTCGACTAGGAAAGCAAGCTCGCAGGGTTTTTAGATGCTGTGGTCATTTGGAAAAGTTGGCTGTCTCCTGTTTGGATACATCGTGTACGTGTTCGGCAGTTACAACATCATCCAGTATTCAAGCTCGAGTGGGATCATGTCTAACCTTGTTTATGGTATGCGTATGCACCCCTAGTTTGACGAAGCAGCCTTGTCTGCTGAGTTTACTACTGATGGCCGGTGCTGCCTCTCTGTCTGCGTCCCTCCTCCGTCTAAATAGAAGAAGGCTGGGCGTATCGCCATCAAACTGCTGAGCACGGCAGGGACCGGCTTCTTCTATACCGCCTCGAAAAACGTGCGAAAGGCCACCGACAAGCTGGCCCTCCGAAAGGTATGCAATACAGGCCTCGGAAGGGAATTCTCGTTCAAAGCTCTTTTTGCTGAGGTATCCGAAGGGTTGGACAAGGAAAAGATAACAAGTTTAGCAAGCCGGTGCTGGACTAGATATTTTTGTTGGGTGTGTTTGAGATGATCTCCATTACCTCATTAGTCCTTGATTCTCTCCCTTCTCGATGTCCCAGCCTGCAATACGGCTGCTACTTCGTACTATATGATTCGTTCGGGGTTTTCGCTTCTACCCAAGCGAAAGTGCACATGACATGTTGGTGATGGGAAACAGGCTGGCACTGTACTACTCCGTCCGCCTCTGGCTGATGTGCTGTCCTACTCAACGCGGTAGCTGTACGATCTCTGGCTTGCCCCGGCGGTTTGAAATGTGGTGGAAATGACACATCCGATAACATCCGCCGTTGTGATGGCATACATAGCTCGCCTGCCTCTGATCTTGAAGAGGCATGTGCGCATGCCATTCACAAGCGTTCGCCCAAGCTCATGACCGGTCTCTTTGGATAGAAATCCTGAAGCATGTGCGTGTGCCGATAGGTCTGGACAGCTGTGTCTCCCATGCTAGTTTCACAATTGTCGAATGCGTGACCCGTACTACCCCGCTGAAATACTTACTCCGTCAGCGATGCACAGCGGCGCGAATGCGACGACATTAGACGTGTGACCTTGGGCAACACAGGATGGCGCGCGTGGCTGGCGAAAGTGCGCGCGGCGTGCTGCTTTTTCGAATCCTCACTCGTCAAGTGTCAATGAAGGCCGCCTGCAGGTGGCCTTCACGCTATTCGCGCACGAGACGCGCCTTGACCGCTTCCCCCTCCGTTATCCGCTTGCCTGTTCTGGCTTCGCCGGCGAACGGCGTGTTCGCGCGTGTGTCGAATTCTTGCAGTACGACCCTGTTGTACGACAACATGTCGTTTTCACCGAAACGAAGATCAAGTGAGCCGCCCCGGCCCGTCCGAGCATTTTGCTTGAGGTCAACCCGTTCTTCCCACATGAAGCGGCATCAAATGGAGCTCTAAGACGGAGGGAGGTCACCTCTCACCAAACCTGTGATACGTGGGTTTGTCATCGATGACATCGCGGGCGTCTAACATCGGCTTTTTTGCTCTTCGACCTGGCGTTTCACAGACTGAAGTCGACGCGGTGCGCATGTATGTGGGGTATCACGCGCAAAACGCTGTTTCATCCTTGGTGTTTTAGGTTGGGACGGTGTGCTCGCACGTTGTACTGTTGGTAGGAACTGGCGATGTGACAGGCTAACATGCAGAGACATCAAGCTAGACAAGTCTGATGTACTGGCGTTACGGGGCAGAGTAGCAAGCGGTGACCGAGCAATCACGGTTTTACACATGAGGATCCATTATCGGTAGGATGGCATTTTCCGTATCACGTGAAGTTGTGCCTTGCCGTCGAATTAGATATGGCGTCGTGCTGCTGTTGGTGATATCCCGAGCGTGAATTGTCAGTGCTGGGAGGTGCATCGCTTCTCTCGTTTCTAGTGTTACCTGATGCTCAGTAGGCTCAATAGAGCCTATATGGACCCAATCGGCTGTGCAAATGGTCTGTTCCACGTTTGTTTGTTTTTTTGTGCGAACAGAGGGTGTTGAGGTGGGCGGGCAAAAACGGGAGGAGCGTAGTGTTTTCATTTTGGATCAAAACGGTGTTACGCGTTTGGGGCTGAGTGTGTGAACCACAAGAATCATTTTGTTTGCTGTTCAAGGTCGGTCCTTGGGCGCCTAGTCGCTTCCCGCGTTTTGGGGGTAGGATCATCGCCTGTGTGACGAGGGCATTAAGGTGTTGCTGTGTATGAAGTTGATTTCACGGTGCCGAACATAGTAATTAAAAATCGTCCTCGGTGCGTTGAGGGATGCAACGGAAAAAAAAGAAACCACGGTGATGTCGCATTGTCAAGTACAGCATTGGTTGACGGTAAAGGGTATCATTGCCGGGGTCCCCTGTGGGACCTCGTCCAGACTCTCCCAGGGTTGCTACCATGTCGTATTCACCGATGCCATCAGGGGTGAAAAGAAAAAAGTGTGACCTTTATCTCTCTTTTGGGCAGGTGGGTACACCTTGTAGCTGGCCACCTTCTGTGGACACCACGCTGCCAGGGCCGAAATATCCCTCCTTGCACAAGGAGCGAAATGTGTACCGTTGTCAGGCAACGTACGTATCGGTAGATGGTGGTCACGAACAGATGATGCTACTACCTGTACATTTATGCTTCGGTCTGCTGCTTACATTTCAGCATTGAAAGACCGATAAGGAGGTTGTGCTTCTTGGCCGTGACCGTATTTTTGTGTACATTGTTGCATGAAGTACATCACAAGCAAGCGCGGATGGATCTCATATGACAGCACCGCCGCTCTATCGCCAAAGGCTATATTGTATCTACATCTATTCTTCCTGCTCCAATCATCGCAGGTGCTACTAGACTACTGCGTTTGACGTGCTGCTAGCCTCTACCGTGTACTATATATGCGACGACGGCGTGTAGCTCACGAAGTCCCAGGCGTTGCCGCTTGCGGTGACCGTATCTCTGTATTGGTTGTTGCATGAAATACAAAACAAGCAAGGGCAGATCTCATGGCAGCACCGCCTCTTTTCTCTCTCTCTCTCTCCTCCTATCGCTTTCTTCATGTACTTCCTGCTCCAATCACCGCCAGTGCTGCAGCATTCACTGAACTGGACTGGACTGCTGCTGGCCAATACTAGCAGTTACGGCAGCAGTGGGTACCTCCGTCCGTGGCACCGCGAGGTACCGAGAGGATGTCGAAGTCTACAGCAAGCAATACACAGAGACTTATTATCTTTGTAGACTATATCCGTTCGTTACGGCATCGTGCCGAGCAACCAATGGCACTTGAATAACAATTCAATTGGGGAAGAAGCAGCCGTGGCACACGGCAATCTATCCACATATCCACATAAAGAATTCCTTACATACATATGCAATCTATCCACACATAGAATTACTTACATAGTCTATGCATACAACATATTCTAGGTGTATTGCTTGGATTGATCTGTGACAAGGGCGCGGGCAAGCAGAAAGGCAGAGAGTGAGAGGGAAAAATGCGAAGATGATACCCGCGAGCGAACGCCCTCCGACTACTTACTACCGGTCACCCCGACTGAGAAGTTACCAACACCATCGAGCGGTCCCACCACGAGATACCACTGTGCCACACAGTCATTGACCTTGATCTTGCGCCACCGACCCCGTATCCTGAATCGGGCGGAACAGGTCAAAGAATGCGGTACTTTGAAGCTCACACATCGCTGATGATTGGTGGTGATAGCCGCACTTTTTACCCTTCTAAATAGTAGATTCATGCGGCTTGCCGCCTCATCTTCCTGACACCCCTAAACAGCAAGAAACACCTACACCAGTCCAGTGTTGGACCGTGCTACCCAGAGACGTTAAGGCAATGCTGCTCCAGAGGTGTGGTTGCTGCCAATACTGCTCCATACTAAAGTACACGATTTCGACAGACGCACAGGTAGCGTCCAACCCTCCAAGGGCTAGTGTTAAGGAGGACCCGATTCGCAGGGTATCCGTCGATTAACTTTTACCTGAATCAGTACACCTTCGCACATGGCGCAGCGGCAGGATACTGGTTCGAATCTCCTTGGGTGCACACTTTTTCTCCTGACTTGGACATTTTCCCATGGACACAATGTGTGTCAGTCCTGAGAACACCCCTTGGAGTCGATCCTGTAAAGAACCTTGTGACACTTCCATCGAACTACCCATCCTGGCCACAAGAGNCAGTACACCTTCGCACATGGCGCAGCGGCAGGATACTGGTTCGAATCTCCTTGGGTGCACACTTTTTCTCCTGACTTGGACATTTTCCCATGGACACAATGTGTGTCAGTCCTGAGAACACCCCTTGGAGTCGATCCTGTAAAGAACCTTGTGACACTTCCATCGAACTACCCATCCTGGCCACAAGAGGTTCCCAGTTGAGGGTAAGTTCTGTGGGTGGAGAGTGTTAAGGAGGACCCGATTCGCAGGGTATCCGTCGATTGACTTTTACCTGAATCGGTACACCTTCACACTAGGTCAAGGGTTCAATCTCAGCGAAAGAAGATCTTTTTCGCTGTTAGCGAAAAAGATCTTTTCCGCTCTTTTTCAGAACATGCATGCATGCAACAACCGCATAGTCTATAACGTGTTTGCCTGTTCGTCCGCGTTGGTGGATATCATCGGACTGTTGAGGTGCACAACATATAGAAACTCTAGTGGATATGCTGTGGGCATTAACAAAAGTACAACGGGTCCTTTTCAACTGGTGAGAAGAGCTGTTGGTGACGCCTTTTTTCGGAGCGAGAAAAATGTCTGGAATACACGCAAACGCCTGAACGTCGTGGTATACATTCCATCCAATCGTCCAAGTGAAGGTACTATTCCCGCCAGTAAGCCGGCGAACCGCATGGGGCAGCGCCAAGTACAAAGATTACAACCAACCCTGGGCTCATTAAAAAAGTTCGAGGTCCAACAGCTCTAACGAGTTGAAGAACCCTGATTGTAAACTTTAAGTTGAGGTGTAGACTACAACATCCTTCTTTATCCAGAACCAACCAATGGTAAGAGTGCAGGTAAGCGCCCACTGCCCCTCCCGAAATATTTGGGTCGTCAAACAGTAAGCGCAAATGTCTTCATGTTCCGAGACCGAACGGCACATACGTTTGCAAAGGCGCGTATTGTCGCATCAATGCATACCCTCAATCACACGAGAAGCTCCCCCCACACTACCGAGCACGAGGGACAGCGGACAGCAGTGTGACGCGAATGCGAGTGCTGCATTATGCACTAAGTTCCCGAAAACGCCGTGTATTCAGAACTTTTGGTAGTGCCACCCCCTCGGCTGTGGATAATCGGCTAGGAAACTTTCGGCCAGGGGCGACCACTTCATGCACGTTTGGTCAGGTCAGCAGCGGACAGAGTCTGTCTCTGGTGTGTCCCTGCACACAAAAAGATAAAACACTAAATCAGGTGTTTTTATCATTGAGAGAGTCGCAGAGAGAACAAACAAGCATGCATGTAGTTGGAATTGTTGTGTGCTACACATCATTTAGTTTGTGTGCCGAGCGGGTCTTGATGCCTCGGATCCTTCAGGGAAGAAAGAGTAAATGGCCCGGCAGAGAAGTGGACGCCAGGAAAGTGAACTGAAGTCAGGACCAGTCAGGTCCATGACCTGATCACATGCGAACTGTGAGAGGGAAGCACATAGTGCACCTGAGGACCGCGAGGGATTTCCGTCTGTTTCAAAACAAGATGATATTGTCTACGCAACTTCTAGCTAATGGTCATGCTGTGTAGGTCAACGTTCCCACAGAAGAAAACAGATACAAACATGGCAGTACTTCAGTCACTCACAGAGATGCCGACTTGTCATTGAAATACTACAGATGCCTTCTTCCTCCCACGTGCAAGTACCGCCGCGGGAATGTACGTAGTAGTGTTTTGCTGGTCATTGTCTGCATCGAAGGTGAGCTGCTGCGAAAAGGGTGGCCAACGAGCGGTCTCCGTTGTATGGCAAAAATTATTCCACGCGTAGTACGTGTTTGATTCCGGTGGTCGGTACGCTGGACGCGCTCACGATGGTGCTCCCCGCATCACCGCTACCTCAATGGGATGAGGAGGAAAGAATAAGTGACTAAAAAATACTGCACCCCTGCCACCACATCTCATCACCAGAAAACGTCTAAAACGGTTTGGAACCACTGGGCGACGGAACTAACTACAAGGCGAGCACCTGCTGGCGACCCGCATCTCGCTTTTCCTGACAATCGTGCGAGAAGTGGGCATAGGGCTCCTGTTGACATGGCAGCATGCTATTGTGGCACCGGCGGATACAGAAATACCACTTCTTCGAGGTGCGGTGGTGTGGGGAGGTGAGAGTCACAGTCAGTGCTGCTGATGCGGTAGTCCGGTAGTAGGCGTCGTCCGCGCAACGGTTATGCGGTGAACTGAAGAAAAGGGAGACGTACTTCAAAGGGTTAGAGGTTGAGGGAAGATCGCTCGCGGAGAGGCCGGACTTTGTGGTTGAGTCCGTCAAGTTCCCCCCGGACCTATTGCGCTTCCATCGAGACTTATAGGAGACCTCGGGTTTAACTGCTGTGGGCAATGCAAGGTTCACGCAGGAGTTGGCTGGCGAATTTAATTAAAAAACAAGAAATGAAGGTAGTATTCGCTGCCAAACATAAGAGATGGGACCTAAGAATTAGTCCACAGCCCACACCGCTATGGCAATTAGGTCTCTTACGAGCGAACCGACAGTGGCCGCCAGCTGTTCATCAGAATGAAGTGCCCAACTGTTGACATATTTTCGTGATGCCTTCATTCGTGCGAACAGAGGCTGTGTGTAAACGCCGCATCGGCACATCATAATTGTCTACGCGCGCTCATACCGTAATTCCATCACCCTCGTGTGATGAAGAGTAGAGTGGGGGCTGATAGTAAAGGCTTACCCATTAGACTACTCAGTCAGCGCTGACTGAGCAGTCTAATGGGTAAGCCTTTATCTATCAAAAGATACACTCTCGGCTCGTAGAATCCCGGGCTGTGAGTAGAGATCTCCGGGGACGGACCCCTCGCCAGGCGCTGCTGGAAAAGAACTATTTATGGTGCTTTTTCGTAAAGTGATCAGCCCGGGATTTGAACCTGTGCGTGTATCGTTCGATTGGTAAAGGCTTACCCATAAGACCACTCAGTCAGCGAGCCGCAATTGGTAAAGGCTTACCCATTAGACCGCCGCGCACGCGTGAGTGGTCTAATGGGTAAGCCTTTACTATCAAAATATACACTCTCGGCTCGTAGAATCCCGGGCTGTGAGTAGAGATCTCCTGGGACGGACCCCTCGCCAGGCGCTGCTGGAAAAGAACTATGGTGCTTTTTCGCAAAGTGATCAGCCCGGGATTTGAACCTGTGCGCGTATCCTTCGGTTGGTAAAGGCTCACCCATTAGAGTAGTCTAATGAGTAGACTGAGTAGTCTCATGGGTAAGCCTTTACCTACTGAGGAGTAGACTGAGTAGTCTAATGGGTAAACCTTCATCTATCAGGGGCTCGAGAGAGCATTGAGGGCGGGGCCAGCCACCTGAACCCGTTCGTATACCCGCCCCGTATTGACGTGCCGACCGACTACAACTCGAGGCATCAAGCGACAGGAGAGAGAGCACGCTTACGCTACAGCGGGGCTCCAATTCTCTACGGCCGATCGTACACACACAGCAGTGTGTGCCAGACTGCCAGCTGCACGCAACCACTTACATCCACTACAGCAGGTCAGCAGTAATGATATATGGCCGTGCGCAAGCAGGAATGGCGGCGTAAATCATTTTGGTTCACCTGCACTCGACATCCCGAGCGGGCAGGTTTTTCTCCGAAAACCCGCCGCGATCTTCATGTCTAGCAACTTCAAAAACACGCCGTGTCGTCCCCTTCTTGGCACAAGGCTCGCCTTGCTGGCGACTGGGAAGCGGAAATCCCCCTCTGTATAGCTTGGGAGTGCTCCACCGTTCGGCGACAATGAGGGAAACTGTAGGCTTCGGTGTGCTGGCGGTGTTCCTGCTCCAGGTAGGTGGCTCGCCAAACGAAACTAAAGGTTCTCTAGGGTAGGCTTCCACGCGCATCTCTCTTGTTCAAGAACAACCGTAGTGTGTGGTTGTTTGCTTTTACTGCCTACCGCCGAGGTGCGCCCCGCGGGGCGCATTCCACACTATGGGCACATTCCACACTACGGCAAAACCGCCTATCCCGAGGCGCCCGAGAGGGGGCCATGCCCTTTGCTGCCGATGCACGGGACGGCACGGCTGTCAAGGATAGCTTGTTTTTTTTTTTTGCGCTTGTACGGGGAAGGTGTTATCAGTTTCCATGCATGCAGAATTGCGGCGGAACAAACCCTCGACCAGCCGTTGTGTGTAAATGCCCATTGCTGCTGGCATCCTGCGCTCTCTATGGAGACGCGCGTGATTCTTTGGTTATGGTTTGCATTGGTGATGCTGGTGCTGTGTAATATTCTGTTGGCCACGCGCCGAGAGCAAGCGGTTGTTGCAATGCTTCGAGTGTTTTTTTCCACCGGGTGTCCCTTTCTAAGCACCAGCTGCTCGCTTCTTTCTCGGAATACATGCTTGCCGTAGCGCCAGAAGTGTGCTGCTGCTGCTGCTGCTGCTGCTGCTGCTGCTGCTGCTGCAACAGCAGCGGCGACGGCTGGTGGTGGTGGTGGTGACTTTCGAGGGCTTCAGGTTGGCGCCTGTGTTGCCGTTTACCTTTAGTGGCATCCACGACTCCTGCTGTACGCTTTATTCGTTTCGTCGGCCTAGTGCAGTGGAAGCTTGGCGCTTCTTTCTTAGAAAGTAAACTCTCTCTTGTCACAAATATCCTGTGTATCTGGTATGTGCACACATTCCTCGATGTTTTCGTTCTTCGAAGAAAATGTTCATGACAACACAAAGAGCTACCCACTGGCGGCACAGCAGTAGAGTGCTCACGGGGAATCTTGGAGTCTTGTCAGTAGGGGACCAACCAACCTTGAGGGACACCTTTACGAGAATCCGCGCTTATCACCAATATTATGATATGACTCGGCCCTGCTGTGGTGTTCTTCCCACAGGCGTCGCCAGCGTCGGGCTTTGGTGGCGGCCCGCTTATGAGACCTTCCAAAACTGGCGGGTCTCCCGCCACCAGCACGCGCTACAGCTCCTGCCCACGCACATCCAAAAGGCAGGAGGAGCACGGCCGCGGCGGCTTACTGGTGCCGGGAGCGACGGTGGATGGGGCCGGGGGAAAGGAGGTATGAACGACATAGATCACCCTCAAGGTGCTCGTCGGGCAGCAGTGAAAGGGCAGGGGGGGTAGGGGAACTCGCGTGCGGTAACAGTAGTGTAGCGATAGGTTTTTGTACAACTTAACAAACACTTGGCCCGTGGGGTGTCCGTTGATTCAATGGCCCATTTTGTACACAACAGCTGTCCCGCGATTCATTTGCCATGCTGTATTATTAGTGCATTTCGATCCAAGGTATCCGGTGATCGTGATGGCATGCGTGATCCAGGTATTGGAGTTGTAGGGCGTAGGTTTTTACGGTATCACCGACAGCTCAAGAGGTGGCTGGCTACGGCTTGTCTATTCTTGTCGGGCTCATCAATGGTCTTGGTTTCGTTGGCTGTGATGGTGTTTACACCACTCATCTCTTCCCCTGGAAAGACTGGGTGTCCGTGTCCGTCGATGTTGCATAGAGCCGGAGGCAGCTGCTGCAGGTGTCGGTCAAAGCTTCTACTGTTGCATTCAACGCTTGGCAGCGTGCTCGACGGAGGAAATGAGTATGGATCGTCCCCGGTCACCCTCTTGGTTATGAAACAGACAAATGCCTCCAAAATGAACGCTCAGCCTAGTCTCCTTCCCCGCCCCTCTTACACCGTCCTGCAGGAGCCGGCGAAAGCGAAATCTGCCCCCAAGAAGGCCGTCGGCGGCTTGGCGGGCTGGGACTGGGGCTTCAAGTCCACGGTCAAGAAGCCTGCTGCTGCCCCTGCTAAAGCTGAGCCTGTTGCTGTGATGAAAGCGGAGGTAATTTCTAGACTTGCGGATGCGGTCTCTCTCCTTTTTTATTTTGTCGGTCAGCATGACCTTGTTTTGTTGGCGTGGGCAGCGCGCTTAGGATGAGCTTAGTCTTGGATTTGTGGTGTTTTGTCAGATGCTGCTGCGGAGTAATACCTGGCTGTTCGTGCGTGTAGTTGAACTCGAAGTTGTACGGAGAGAAAGTCGTTCAGCTGGTGCAGCTTTGCGGCCGATGTTGACGTTGAAACAGCTAGCGCGTTTTGCTAGCTTGAATGGAAAGCTGATATTTTATGTCGCCCTCGGCGTGGTAGTCCTGAGTACTACCCCCGCACCAGTTCCTGCTCCTCTGTTTCTTAGAAGTGCGGTTTGACTGCTGCGTTTTGTCACTACGCTTCAAGTCTCAGCGACAGTAGCACTTCTCAACCACACGATGTATCGCTCGTAGGCGCGTCGTCGCTTGCGGCTACCTACCGCTGAGTTGCTGGTTTCCGCTTGGGGGCACATTTCTTCTGCGCCGCCGACAAGCACGAACGATGATGCGCTTCCGTCATGCTGACGCTTCCCTCTCAACGTTACCAACGACTCTCCCGCCCACCGCCGTGCGCGCTGACAACACAGACCGGCGGGGACGGCGGCGGCGGCGGTGATGACGGGGTCGACGCGAAGGCTGAGAAGGCGGCTCTCGATGCCGAGGCTGCCGAGATCGCCGAGGTTAAGCGCAAGGCCGCGGCGGAGATCAAGGCCGAGCAGGCCGTGGCGGCAGCGGAGGCTGCCGGGATCGCGGAGGTGGAAGAGGTCAAGCGCCAAGCGGCCGCCGAGATACTGGCCGAGCAGGAGGAAGCGAAGGTTAGTTTTTTTTTCGAGATTGAATCTCACTGCTGTGCATCATTCGAGTTTTTTTTTTTTGCTGTGGATGTTGGGCCTCTCGCACCCTCTCATGTACAATTGCATCAAAAACGTTGGTCAGTCGTGGTAGGTCTAGTAGCAGCTGTTTCAGCTTTGTCTCACGCGGTCAGCACTATTATTTTGTTTGACGCGGCCATGGCGGTAAGTCGTGTCGGGCTGGGCGGGCGTTCAATCTTGTTTTCTCAGTAGGCAACGTGTTCAGGTCAGACTGTGGAGGTGACCGTTGAGTTGCGAGAATCGAGGCCCGCTGTTCACCAACCGCTTGTGCGCCCTCCAACGGAGTGCGTCCCTCAAGCCGTGTTTGTTTCTACGAGCGTTTCGTCACTGAGCTTTGACTGGGTTGCAAGTTTGTTGTTTGTTCCAATAGGCGGGGGTTTGACAAGGAGTTCGCAGCAGCAGTGGCAGCGATTGATGGGAGGGCGCGCAAGGGAATTTGACGTTCCACCGCTGTGAGCGAGCCTACGGTGACTGAGTGTACTGTTGTTGCCCTCGCGCTCGCGCCAGAAAAAAGGGAGCAAGTGTTTCAGCCTCAAGCTGCTCCTGTTGCTACGGCGGCCGTGCCCATCGCGTCACTTGTGGACTTGCGTACATTTCCACAACCTTACCAATAACACAATCTATTCGTCAAGCGCATCTGTGTACCCGACTGCTTGTCCTCTTAAACCAAAGATCCCTTTTCGGGGCGCAAAACAGTTGTCTCTGTACTCTTCCGCTCGCACCGCTCTTATCGCTTTGGTCGAAAGGGGCTCCGAGCTCACGGTGTCCAGCACTGCTGCCCCCCCCCTCCCCCCCCCTGTCGTTGCCGTTTCGCCCCCGTCAGGCGCGGAAGAAGGAGATCGCCGAGCGGGCCGCAAAATCTAAGCGAGCCGAGGAAATGGCTGCGATCGCCAGGGGGGACGCGCCCAAGGTGAGGAGAAGAGAAGTAGCAGCCATCACCACCTCGCACACGAGCTTGTCCCAGGGTTGTAGCAGAGTTGCTTGCAGGGTATTTATGCGAGCAGCAAAGAGCGCACCACTCGAATCTGCTTTTCGTGGTGGTTGTCACCACATTCATTTCTGGACTTGGGAATGCGGAAAAACACGAAAGTTAATGGTGTATTCCTTGATATCGGGGACCGGAAATAATCATGGACCCCGTGACAAAATGTGTTCCACTTGGACACCAGCTGGTGAGGACCGAAAGCAATCATGTAGTTGGTTGGTAGGATTAAAAATCGGTGAAGTAGATTTACTCTGCTGATTCTGGCCCAGATGCGGGGCGTAGCTCAGGGAGCCAGAGCAGGCGTGTGTACCAGCGAAGACATGAGGAGGGGTGAACACTCTCCACTTGTTCTGCTGCGCCCCCCCCCCCGTCTCTTGCTTATTCGCGATCGCAGAAAGCAGCAGCCAAGAAGCCCCCAAAGGAGGACGAGAAGGGGGAGGAGAAAAAGGCTGAGCCCGCTAAGGCTGATCCCGCTAAGGTTGAGTCCACGAAGGCCAAGCCCGTTAAGGCCGAGGCGGCTAAAGCTAAGCCGGCTAAGGCCGAGCCCGCGAGGAAGAGCAGCGCCGGCACGGGAGGGTGGGACTGGGGGTTCAAGTCCACGCCCAGGAAGACTGCCGCCAAGCCCGCCGCCGCCGGCGCTGTGAAAGCTAAGCCTGCTGACGAGAAAGCGGAGGTAGCCGTTCGTACCAGATTGAGTTGGCCTTTTAGACCGGGATTGCGCGTGTGCCTCTGAAGCTGAAGCTGCCGAATTTTAATTGTCGGCTTATATGGCTGAGGTTCTTGTTACTCAATGGTGTGTTTGTTGTTACAGATCAACGTTGGGTTGCGGCCCCTGTTGGTGCTATATGGCATGCCACGGGCACGGTGGAAGTTCGGCTCGGCAGCATCTTTTTTTTTTTTCACTTTTTGTTTCTCTGTGCATTTGAAGCTGTATGGGCTGGGGCTGTGGGGACAGAGGGATTGTAGATGGCCGCGATGGCACTGCTGTGGTTGTGGGACATGCCATGTACGATTGCATTGAACAGAAGAACGAATAAAAAAACGATGTTCTTTATCCGTGCGAGGTCACTTTGATGATCCCTCGGGTCTTGTCGGGTATAGGCGACGACGGCTTGAACGAATCCGAACTAGGCGGAGGCCCAAGCGCTCCACCTAGTCGCTTCGCTCGTTCCGAGTCGAAGGCGGAACACTACTTGACGTGCAACACCATGCCATCCGTACGGGTTGCTGTAGTCACAAGGAACGTGTGATCATACCGTCCTTTGCGGTTGCTATCGCCACACATCGAGCCATTTCTTGCTTGTTTGTTACTGGTCCAAATTCACCACTGTCTGCTGCAGCCAACATCACGTTTACACCTCCTCTCTGACGCGTCTATTGCTGATGCTGATGCCAAACTCTCTCTCGTGCTGCTGCTGCTGCTGCTCCTGCCGTCGCCGTTGCCGCTACCGCTACGCCGTGTTATTCTTATGGCCGAGTTGGTGCATGGCGGGATAACAAATACTCCGATTAACGGTAGCTTCAGCTGAGTTCGCTCTAGACCCTGCGTTAGCGTGCATGTAGTATATCCGTAAAACCCGGGGCCCTTCCTGAAGATCAAATCACACGGAGGCAACGGTGCATGCTCCTTAACAGATCGGAAAACCAAGTGGTACAATTGCCTCCTTGTGCGGCCGTACCAGATCTGCCGCACGAAGACGAGTCGGTCTCTAGTGACCACTGTGCTGTAAACAGCGCATGGCTCAGAGTAGTAACGCGGGACTCCGAGAATACCCAAAAAATCACACAGCCGAGCATGCTGATGCCCCCCGCTCCCTATACATCTTCCACCTTGCGGCCCTTCAACCTCGTCGCTGGCGGTGTAGTGAAACCTGTACCTGCTGGTTCGTAAAACCGCCGTACCGTGGTACGTTTTTGCCACCTTCGTCTGAGAAGTTGATTTTTTCGATTCCGTGTTCGGTGCTGTGTACCCGTGAGATGGTTTCTCTGCCGCTTTGGAACCGCCAGTGACCAGTTTACCCCACTCTTTGTTGCAGGCATAGTGCAACCCCGGTACCATTTTTTTTGCCAGAAGCGTTTGAGGTTTACGCACGACAATGCTGCACCGAGGTGATCAGCATGTCAATAAAGGCAGCCAGCACCGTAGGACCCCCCTGTTTTGCCGTCTGAAAGGCCCCCAATACTCCATGCCTTCAGTGGCATACAATCCGATTGCGAACAGCCACAAAATACAGCAAATCTGCGATGCCTCCAAGCGGCCCCCCGATGCTGCTACTACGGCCCTGCCTTTCTTGCCGCCCCCGCCGCCGCCAAAAACGCCTCCTGTCGTTTTTGTTTTGAAGAGAACATACATATTAAACGCAGAAAGACTTATATCTGTTCAAGATATAATCACGTTCTGCTTTTTGGTCAAGTGCCCATTCTGACCCCGTTGCAAAAACGCCTGCTCCTGTCGGTTCTATTTTTGTCAAAAATGGTGTTTGTTGCCGCCGCCGCAAAAAGTGCCTCCTCCTGTGATTTTTTTTCTTCTTCAAACTCAGGCCAAGAAGGAGGCCAAGAAGGCCAAGGCCAAGGCCCTGGAGGAAGGCAGGGCCGCCGCCGCCGCAGCCGCAGCCGCGGAGGCCGAGAAGATCGCCGAGATCGAGAGGAAGGCCGCCGCCGAGATCGAGGAGAAGGCGGCGGCGGCGGCGAAGGCCAAGGCGGAGGCCAAGGCCGAGGCCGGCGCCGCCAGGGCCCGGCACGAGCAGCGCGCCCAGGAGATGGCCGCGGAGGCCAGGGGGGATGTGCCGAAGGTCGGTTGGGCCGATGTGCCACGCGAATCAACAACTAAAACGTTTCGGAATATGCCGTCCTGCCCTCCCCCCCCCTTCGTGCTCCGTCCCGGCTTTGTAGGGATGCCAGGTCAATGGGTCTGACGACTACGGCATGCAGGGCTATTATGGGTACTCCGTCCTCCGTCCTCTCGAGGACGCTTAGTCAATTTTCTAACCGCTAAGGCATGCAAACCATGAGTACGTCTCCCCCCCGCTCCCCGTCAGTAATCGAATGATCAGGCCGTGCTGTGAGTACATAACGGCTTGCTATGGTCAACAGTGTCGCCGGGTACAAAGCATCCATTAACCATTAGCCACATGCACACGACCCCAATTTAGTCGATGTATTGGCACGAGTTTTGTGATGCGCGTCGTCGTGATGCTGCGTCTCCCTCGTGTCCTTCTTGTAAACAGCAGATACCACACACACACCTGTATGTAAAAACGTAAAAATCATCTTCTTGGTGGCATTCGCAACATTTCACGTACGTATCGAAACTTGTCTTACTTTTTTTACGTATTTGTTTGTGACATATTTTTTTCATGGGTGACTGCAGCCGAAGAAGAAGGCCGCACGTAAGAAAAAGAGCGCCGGCACAGACGACAGGAAGAAGGAAGACGGTGACAAGAAGAAAGAAGACGCCGAAAAGAAGACGAAGAAATCGAAGAAGGCCACCAGCAAGAAAGAGGAAACCCCTAAGGACGACAAGAAGGACGATGCCGCCGGTGGCGGCGACGAAGCTGCTGCTGACGGTACCGAAAAGGAGGGGGGAACGGCGGCCGAAAAGGGAACGCCGGCCAAGACGGAGAAGAAGGCGTCGACTGGTGGGGGCGGCGGCGGCTGGGGTCGTTTCGGGTTCGCGCCGCCGAGTAAAGAGGCCAGCACCAGCAGCATCACCCTGACTAAGCCGGAGACGATCGTGGTGAGCAAACAAAGACCGACGCCGACACTCGTTTTGTCTCTTTTCCTTCCAACAACCTCGAGAGACTGGTTGCTTGTTGTCATAACCAACGGCCGTTTCAAAAATAAACTGCGCACGCGAAGATTCAGTCGGGTTCGAGTGAATCGGTAGGTAAAATCATGGCTGCTGCTACTTGTGTCCGTGTCTACGTTATCTGGTTGTATTTTGATTATTTCGCTGCCACCGTGGTGTTCCTCGTCGGGTTGCGACCTTTGGCGTTCTGGTGATTGTTGTAGGCGCTAACGTGGTACTCGGCACCACATGTATGACTCGGCACCATACATATCAAACATACCGGTGGTATGCCCTTACTCCGTTAGATTTTTCGTGCCGGCCCTCTTATACCTGTTCCGTTCTCCCTCTCTCGTGGTGCGTAACATTTTTTTTGTGTTGACACCGCTCATTTTCCGGCGGACCGTCACAATCGACCGGACACCGAATAAAACAAATGAAAAAAAAAAGGTGGTCACCGGCGCCACCGGACGGGTGGGATCGCTGGCGGTCCGGCGCCTGCTCGAGCTGTACCCCAACGTGCTGGTGAGGGCCGTCGTCACCGACATGGCAAAGGGAAAGAGGCTGCTCAAGGAGGAGATCGACAAGTACGGCATCAAGCTCGAGGTAAGGCGTCAGCAAAACATGTCGTACTGAGTTGAGTTGAACCCGTCTGTTTCGCGTGTGTTTTTTGTGTGTGTGCTAAAGTTATGATGTGCTGGCTGTTGATGGAGGCGTTGGATTGACCTGTTCGGCGCGGACGTAAAAGCCTGGGCCCTCCGTTTCTTGTAGTCGGTTGGCACGAAAGTTGTGTTTTTCTTGCATCGTCACATTTTGCTAATCGGATCATGGGCTGCTTGCTGTCGACGCCACGTTTTGCTGACATAGCTGCCGCACGCGGCCCTTGATTTTGGAAGTGGCTTAATCTTGCTGTTACTTCGCATATGTTGGTTGGGCGCAGATTGTGTCTGCCGAGCTCGGTGGGATGCGTTCGGCGGCGAAGGTGGTGGCAGGAGCGTCCGCCGTCGTCTTCTGTGCCTCTGGCTTCGCACAGAATCTGTCTCCCATAGAGAGGTGGGTGTATGCTCGCTTCTGATCAGTGTTCACGTAGTGGCTGTCGTTGTCGTTGGTGTCGTTGTTGTCGTTGTTGTCGTTCTTGGTGAGGTCTGTGAGGTTTTCTGGCTGGACGGAACGCTGCAGTCTGATGCTTTTCTTTGGGCTTGCCAGAAAAACTTTGTCGATGATTGTGTCAATGACAACAAATTTGTCGGCAACTGACGGGCTTTCGGACGCTTTCGCTCGTGTCTCGATGGCGGCAACACCCCAAACACTGTTGTGTCCAATCAGGCTGGCCAACGCGGTAAGGCTGACCATCAACCCCAGCTCGGTGGCAGACGTGGAGGGTGTTCGCGACGTGGCAACAGCCCTCAAGGCCACCAAGAAGCTGGTGTCGAAGGCCTCCAAGGCTCAGCAGGAGGCCAAGGGTAAGGCCGAGGAGGGCGGGAAAGCCAAGGAGGACGAAGAGCCCGAACCCCTCTACCCGAACGCCCCAAGGTGAGTTTTTTTTTTCCTTGGGTTCGCGGGACGGTGGTCTGCTCTGTGGTGGCGTACGCTACTCTTTGGTGGTGGAAGGGTGACGGTCTTGGCGCGATTGAGTGAGGGCTGGTGTGTGAGGGTCATGTTCATGAGGGCTTCGATGAAATTAGTCGCGAGTTACTTGTCTATCATTTTGATGGAGGACTCGTGGAGCGGGGCAATGTGGTACGTCAAAGTTGCTCCACAAGGCTACACCTCTGTGACGTCTCATCAACCTCGAGCCTCGTCCCTGACGACAAGCCGGGGCGTACGTAAGTGGCCCTCCACGATACCCATCCATCGATCTTCCCGGCATTCCTTACCCGAGCTGTCCGGCACCTGCTATATCGTCGTTCTTGTAGTGTGTTCATTTTTCTCCGGCCGGTTTCGTTGAATCTCTACCCGCCATCGCCCCTTGCGATCACCGCAACGCTGGTTGAACGGTTTTGGTTCTGCCGAATAATCACGAAAAAACGATGGGATCAGATTCGTGCTGCTGTCGTCGGCTGCGGTGACCCGGCCTAACTGGAGTTCCGAAGACAAGGCGCTCTATCCCTTGGTAAGTCTTTTACCACCACGTCACGCTCCGGAACCCCCACAGCTCCTTGTCATGCCACTCGCTTTATGGCCCCCTTGAACAAGTAACGGGGGTTTTGTGCATATGCGTTGTGGTGGCTCTTCCTAGGCTTCCCGGAGCGATGTGTTCTGTTGTGTTGATAGCTCTTGTGTTTCCTTGCCTGCTTCGTCCCTACGGCTTGCCCATACGGAACGATCCCATCGCAGCGACAACAGATGGGTACATGTTGACTTCATTAGCAGCTCCTCCGCCATCGGCGGGTAGGCTCAGAGCGAGAAAATGTGCCCGCACAATTCTGATCATAGGAATTGTCCGGTTGGCGAAACATTCCATGATCGACCGGTGTCGCCGTCGCCGTCCAGGGCGGTGACATCACAGTTTTGCTTTCTTGCTATTCGTTCTCTCCATGCAGTACCGCAGTTGGTGTTCGATTGTGCTCACTCGTGTCTCTTCGCGTCTGCTCTAACTCCTGACCCTTACCACCGTGGTACCCACCTGAACGACGGACCAACTGCGGGGGACGCCTGCCTGCTTCGCCTATAAAATGCGCCCACCGCGGACGACGATGTCGTCGATAGTCGGCGGACGTGCCGATCGTGAAGCTGAACCCGCTCAACATCCTCACGGTAAAGGCCCAGGGGGAGAAGGAGCTCCGAGAGGTGAGTTGGCCGTCAGCCGTACACTGGAGCAGTAGCGTGGGTGTTAGCATGTGCGCCTGTAGCGATTTGTGATCGAGGTCACTGCTGTCCGGTTGGGCAGAGACTCTTCGGGGTGCTGCTGAACACCGACTACTCGGGCGTTTGCTGTGTTTCGAAAAGAAAAAGAAATGTGACACATGACGAAAACCAGAGCGCATTACAGGGTGCCCCTGTTCTTGTTCCAGGTAGAGTGTAGTCGTGGAGGCAATCACCGCAGGAGGAAATGCGGAGATCCCCTTCCCTGGCTGTTGCGTCAGACATGATAGTGCACCGAAACGAGTAGACTGACCCCCAAAAAAGACGGGACGGGAAAATAAGAACGAAGAGAGTGTACCGTCGGGAGTCGAGTTGAATTTGAACGCTTGCGGTGCGTTTCCTTTCCTGTTCGTGCGCTGGGGACGTAACCACGTGTGGCAGGTGGGCATCCCCTACGTGGTGGTGAGGCCGTGCGGTCTAAACGACGACCACCCGAGGGGGAGGCCAATATTCTCCGTGGGCGACACGGCCGCGGGGAGGATATGCAGGTGAGAGGGTTGGCGGCCGGCGCTCGTTGCGTGAGTGGGGGCGACCGCCGACGGCTGCTGCAGCAAGTAGTTTTGCGTCTCTCGATTTCCGAATGCACAGTTCGGTCTCGCTTCGAGTCCAAACGGTACGCATGTACCTATGTAGCATCTGTCGTTTGTTCGCTTCGGGTGTAGCTGACGTAAATTGTTGTCCAAAAGGGGAGCTGGAGGAGGATAACGACGAAGAGCGCTTGTTGGAACGCTCACCTCCGACATTGTCTTGCTTATCCTCGATATCGGGAGGGTGGCGTGACAGGAACAGCTAGCATAGTAAGGAATACTCCAAACGTGCACCGCTGCGAAAATACTGGGGTTGACTTGAGTTTGAAGGGCTCACGTACGTGCTGGGGCGCGCATTGGGGTGCTTCCTAGCCGTGCCCGCCTCCACCCACCCTCGTTGGTCACACAGCAAAGGCGTTGCAGTGTTGCTGCAGACGGGGACTATGGTCACGCATGGGACACGGACCACAAGAGTGAGAGTTTGAGTAAAGAGGGTGAAAGAGAGAGAGACTGCAAGCGAGTAGTGAAATTGTCGAAAGCAAGTTTTGTCACATGGGGGAGGACCGTGACCGTCAGAAGTGCCCAGTAAAAAGAACAACGACTACAAAGTGTCACAACGGGGCACAAAATAGTGCGGTGTGAGTTGGTGGTCTTGTGACGAAACCACGCCGTCGGTCCGGCCGCGCAATCGTCGCCGTTGAAAAAGCCTTCCGCATCCAAACGACCTACCAGGGAGGACGTCGCGGACGTGCTGGTGCGGTGCCTGGGCACTCCTGAGGCCACCGGAAAGACCTTCGAGGTTCAGTCGCTGCCCGGATTCGAAAAGGTGAGAGAGCGTTTTTCGACGGTGCACTCGCGATGTCAATGCAGCTGTCTGGTGGTCGGTTCAACGAATGCCCGTTGGTGCCCTCGCTCGGCTGTCGCATTGTCGGCGTCCTATTTGTTCAATTGTTGGATCAAGAGATTCCGTGGTGCATTTGAGGGGAGAGCCAGTTGTTCCATTGAGGCACGTGCGATTTTTGTTTAAAGATCCTCTACAACGGTGTGGTGACACGAGCACGAGGATGTAGCGGTGTGCTTCTTGTCACTACCGGGTTTCTGGTTGCTTGTGTGGTTGTGCTCGTCGCGGCAGCCTCCGCATAGAAGCCCGACCACAAAGGTTGCCACCGGCAAGGTTGACCGATGTCTCTGTATCATTAACAATAAGATTCCCCTCACAACCCAAATGCTCGGTTTTGACGCCATGAGTTGCTTACTTGGCGTGGGCGTGTCGGTGCTCAGCAGCAGCCGGCAGTGCACCTACCTCGAGTGAACCCCAGGATTGAGGTTGACGCACTCACGGAAACTTCTTTACATGCTTGTGCCAACCATCCATCGACTCTTTAGCCGCTTGTGTTGCCTCCTCTGTCCAGGTAAACGCTGATTTGACATGCATTGTGTCAATGCATTCATTTGTCTTTCCCATTTTTTTTGCTCAGGTGGCCTCTTCGGTGAAGACCAACAACAAGGGGAACATCGACCAAGCACTGGCCGGCCTGCCCACCGACGAGTCTCTGTCGAAGGATCCGGAGATGCTCAAGAACTTCAGGCGGTACACCTACCCCGTCCTCACGCAGCTCCGCCCGGTCCCGCTGGTGCAGATGTCCAACAACGATGAGAAGGAGAAATGAGGAGTGGGCGAGGAAGAGAGGAGGAGGGGCGGTTGGTCGCGCTGACATTTTCGTACTGGCGTTGTCGGGGGATTAGCGACAAACAATGATGGCTGTGGCCCGGTGCCCTCGTGCCCGTAGTGGTGCACGGGACGGCGGGTGGAGAGGGGGGAGGGCGTGCCGTCCGCGCTGCCAGCGGGCCTTTGTTGCGGAGGTTTTAGGCATGGCGGCTGGTTTGGGGTCTAGAGGAAAGGGCAGCAAGTAGTTTACGAGCAGTCTGTTTGGGAGGAATGGCGATGGGGACTCACGTGAGCAGTCAACTGAGGGCCACGGTGTTTCGGTCGATCAGAGGCTGGCTCTTCGCGACGGGAGGCCACAGCGGGAGACTTTTTACAGTCGAATACATGTAGATGATCAGGGAGGGTGTAGGGAGTGACGGGGGAGACGTGATTCAGAGATCAAGTGATTCGGGGACCAATCAAGTCCATTGGCGTGTCGGGTGGAAGGGAGTGGCTGTGCTTCCTTCTCGACTGGAGAGCGAAGCACCAATAGTGGGGAAACCTCATCGGACGGGGCACCAGGATAGTTGGCGACCATTGGGGCTGACGAAAAGCAAACTATCAGACAAACCTTTGGAAGAGTGGGTGGCGGAGCAGTTTTCACTGCGAAGAGCGATGAAATCTTGCAAGAGTCTGGACTGGAAGAACGTCACGGAGGCGAGTAGTACTGGGAACGGCTGGGCATGAAAGAGGGCCCTGATGGAGGAGTGGTGCCTGGATTTGACTGACTCTCCGCGGTTCCTCTTGAGCGGCGCTGCTACAGAACTTTCTGGAGAGCGTATTTTGGCAGTCGAGAAGGAGAGGTGTCTCAAGTCAGCATTGATTTAGTGATGCTACGTACAGGTCGAACCAGTCCGTGAATGCGTGCTTGTGCGGCAATGATAGTGCCGGTGACGATACACACACTTTGATGTTGGGGGACAGGACACCTCATTTGTACTTCAATGCCATTGTCGTTTGTTGTAGCAGATGCTTGTTCTTGACACCATAAATTACCAAAAGAACGTTTGTTGTAGACTAGATTTCGTTGAGAGGTTCCAAAGGTTTTTGGAAGGGCGCGGTCTAAGTTGCTCGACGAACATGTACGTCGTCTTGACATCTATAACGCGCCGCTCCGACGTAAAACGGAATAGGCCATTATGAAATGATCGAAATCAGCTTGCCCCCTTTTCGAGGCGGTGTGCAGTGTATGGATCCTTTGTTTTGCTTTTTGGGATCGGTCGGGCATTGTTTGTTGCAGAGAGGTCGTCGAAACGCTGGCGATTGGGTAGCGCGGAAGGCAGCGGGGGAAGAAGTTTGTGCCCTCTTCGCACTTTTTTTAGAGAAGCTTCTGTTCTGGTTCAACACTGTCGGCACAAGCGTCATGGTGGCTTTTTGTCTGGGGTGTTAGTGCTTGAAATGGGTTCGACAAATTCCGGGTACAGAGATACTTATGTATGTGGTTTCTTCATGCCTACTCTTCGGTGCTCGCTCACGGTCTGGATGGATGACCCGTGCTTGTTCTGTTGATTGATGTGTGTTTTGTCAAGATATATCGGAGCTGGTCGAGTTAGGTAGGATCGCGATTGGTTGTCGTTCTTGTTTGTCCATGTTGGATTGTCGCCACGCCGCGAGTACCATGGCACCGTGCTAGACACACACATGCTTTCATTCCACGCATGAAAGTAAGGAAGTGTGGTATAGCAAAAAAATGAGTTTTGGTGAACAGTACATGCTGTTCCATGCGGATGTTCACGTTGTTGATGGCTTGACCGAGGAGGACCTACGCATGTATACATATACCCCGGTCGCCCCGGTGGTCTAGTGGGTAGCCTCGCAGCCTACTAAGGGCCAGGTCATGGGTTCGAGTCCCGGCAGGGAGAGTTTTTTTCTCACTAAATAAATCCTGGTCTAGGATGAAAGCGACGCGCTGCAAAGCTCGTTTGTTAGTAAACCATAATCGACTTCGTAAGTCGCGAGGGAAGGGATTGCTGTACCCTTCTCGCGATAAAATACCTCAGGCATGAACCGGAGGAGGGAGTCCGACCCCCCCCTCCTATGTGACCCCGGTTGGGTCGTCTAGCTAGTAGAAGTGGAGGATAGGGGCCAGAGAGAGGGGCAGACGACAGAGTCCAATGATGGGAGAAAAACAAACAAAACAACATACGTGTGTCTTGAGTTGGTGTCGACCGTGCTAACCCGCTGACCAATGAAACGACGTCGGTCTTCACAGCGGGACATAAAACGCGAACACGCTTTTGGTAAACGGAGTCTGAGCCCCGGATTCGAAGCATAAGGGTAAGACTAAACACCAAGTGCCGTTGGCTGCTGCGTTATCTCTCGTCGTCCCGTGCTACAGCTACATACAGCATGTTATCGTGAAGGTATTGTTTGCACAAGCATGTAGCTCAGGGGTGGAAACACGTCCTGGGAGCGTGTCTGCGAGACACCACCGTGTGTTATTTAGGGTCACAAAGGAATCGGAATCTGGAGTTTTCAACCAGCACGAAATAAAAACGACGTGTCGTGACTTCCCAAAAAAAATAATGGCTGTTTCTTCCAAATTTCCGAAGTCCAAAAGTTTGAAAGTCATCGAATATGTTGGAAAATGATCCGAAAAAAAATGGAAGTGACAGGGCCCAGAAACTTTGGAACGGTAGCTTCCAACTTTTTGGAAACATAAGATATTTTGGAAGGTTTTCAGATTTGGAAGCATTCCAAATATTTGGAAAAACAGTGCTGCTCTGTTTAAAACGGCCCTAATAAAAAGGTATGTTTTGTGTTCAGTGCATGTCATGTGTATGCATATGCACTGCATCAAGTACGACAATTCAACTCGCCTCGTCACAAAACTTTTGGTGCTACCAGACGCCATACTGAGGGCGAGAGGAAGAACGAAAGCGACCTCACGGACAATATCGTGTGCTCGGGTTTCGAGACAAATGTTACCAAATCGCGACCGATGTCACGCCCATATCACCACGAAAACACAAAAAGTGACAGCGTGGTTTCACACACGAAAGGACTATTAGTTGCTACCCGTGAAAGCTGTTTCAAGGAAGATATATTCGACACAGGAATAGATATCCGAAGCAACGCTGCAGACATCAACGGAACAACGTGAAAAGATGGAAACTGTAGTCTAAGCGAAGTCGATCGTGGCCGGCCACGAACAAAAAAATTGGCTCAGCATCACATAAATCAAACAACATGTAGTAGACGGTTCTGCTAAAGACCATGCCCTGCCACCGTGTGAACCTACCGCGAAAGCTACCGAACGACAAAAAACGAATGTGCAGGGAGCGAATATATGTTCACTCAAGGACTATAATAGTGCAGTCTAGGCCACGACAACGGGCCTATTTCGCATCCTGCAACACGGTCAGAATCAAGAAAAAGGAACAAAACCACACCATTAGGTCGGTGCTTGCATGTTTCGCCATCCCATCTCGACCCACAACCGTGTGAACCCTCCCGACAAAAGTCTCAAGGCCGACGCCCATGAACAAGAGCTCATCCTCGAGAGCGTCATTAGGCAGGGTGAGCAGTGTCCACCAACTTGTTATCACGTTCTATGACGCCGGTGCTTCAGTATCCCATCCTGTGAAAACGGGGACCGAATCCACTCCTGTTTTTTGTTGTTTGTTTGTTTCTCTCCCATCATTGGACTCTGCCGTCTGCCCCTCTCTCTGGCCCCTATCCTCCACTTCTACTAGCTAGACGACCCAACCGGGGTCACATAGGAGGGGGGGGTTGGACCCCCTCCTGCGGTTCATGCCTGAGGTATTTTTATCGCGAGAAGGGTACAGCAATCCCTTCCCTCGCGACTTACGAAGTCGATTATGGTTTACTAACAAACGAGCTTTGCAGCGCGTCGCTTTCATCCTAGACCAGGATTTATTTAGTGAGAAAAAAACTCTCCCTGCCGGGACTCGAACCCATGACCTGGCCCTTAGCAGGCTGCGAGGCTACCCACTGGACCACCGGGGCGACCGTGTAGAGGTGGCGTCCTCCTTCTCGGGCCTCAACCACTGAACGGTGGAGGCGGTTCCGAGTACGCTGGCGGCGGTGGCAGGTCGATATCCCCGGCGTCTGCCATGGGCGGAGGGGGCTCTGTGTATGCGGGTGGGGGAGGCGGCGGGATGTCTCCCTTAGCAGCGCCAGCACCACCTGCAACAGCGGGATAATTTTTCGAGCGGGCAGGGGCATTGCCGAAGCTCTGATCACCTCTCGCTCGGCGTCTCGCCACAAAGATGCCGACGACGAGTGCCACAAACGCCAAGCCGCCGATAATGCCACCAACAAGCGGTCCAAGCGGGACGGACGAAGAAGAAGAAGAAGAAGACATCGATTCCCCTGGCGATACGCTGGGGGTCAGGGTAGGAGGGGCAACAGGACTATCCGCAACAACGGGCGCGGGGGTGCCAGTGCACCCACAGTCCATCGAAATCTCCTCGTCGGTAACATCTTCGAAGGTGCCGGTGCCGCCGAGGTCGCCTGTTACATACAGCAGTGGTGAGGGTTGGCGCACGTGTCGCTGTGAGGCCTCGGGGAGGGGGGGGGGGCGTCCAAGACAAAGCGATCGCACACGTGACATCACGATAAGAAGGAAGATACTTGAACTTGCTAGCGATTGATACTGCGGTACATGAGCCGCATCCGTACACAGACTTGTACACAGACATATTTCGCCATCTTCCTGCAGCAATGTAGGCTTATCCTCACATGTCCACGTGGCGTCAACAGGGTGGACAGTCACGGCGTCTTCGTTCGATACGCAATAAACAATGGTCCCATCGTCTTCTTCGGAGACGAATGCCAGGTAGAACGGCATGATCTGATGTTGAACGCAACATGCAAAGAAGCAAAGGGCACGAAGACGTTGGAAGCTAGCTCGATATGAAAGCACCTGCCAAGTTCTTGAAAACACGAATATTAGGGGGACAGTTGGGTACTGCAGAGGCGACGAAACTCACTTGGTACCAAACCCAGCAAGCACGCACCGTAAATGATTTTTTTACTTTTGTCCTGCCGCACACTTTTTCGCGCGGTCTACGGATCAATTATGCAACCACGTCTGTCTTCCAAGAAACGAATGCCAAGAAACAACGAAAATACGCCGGCCGACTCACCACATCACCGTCGTCATCAGCAAAGGCGGAGGACATGCCCAAAATGGCTATATGCTCCCAGCCGCTCATACCACTGACGGTGTACTCTTCGTATTCGTCTCCTTCGTCGAACGACCAATCTGTTTGCTGGTAGCACCCCTCAACAACGGGCAGCACGTCCGACGTTATGCGGAACGACTCGCCGTCGCCGCAAGACCCTTCCGAAGTGCCTCCCGAAGTGCCTGTGACAGGAGAAGGAGTTGATGGCGCGATCACGGTGGCCGGCGCCGGGGTGGCGGGCACGGCACCCGTCGCGATCAAAACCCCGGCGAAGTCGGCATAGAAATCAGTCGTGGAGTCCTCCCACGTCCCTGTGGAGTAGCCCGCAAGCAGCGCGGCTCCGTCGGGGCTGACGTCGACGCCGACGAAGGTTTCGAAACCGGTGGTGCCGGCCTATGTGGACGGATGGGATCAGGTTCGGGGATGCAAGGTCGGAGATTTGGGCCTCTGAGGGACCGACTCCTTCACGGACAGTGGGCGCGAAAGCACCACCTCTGCTGCAAGCGTGTGGTGGCCCACAACCATACCCGCGATACCCCTCTACCTTGCACAACATGGACACCGCGGCAGAGACTCGTTCTACGCGGTTACACGGTGCAGGATTTTGGGAGATACGCGCGTGCATCCAACTGAATAACCAAGGCGAACATCATGATCTCGAACCGCTTCCGACGCCTGCCCGCCGAGGTAACTTGCTCTTTGGCAAGACACAGGTAGCCCTGGACGATGTCGTGCGGCTGAAACTCGTCGAAACACGCGCCGCACCAGGTAACATCAACCGGCTTCGGCAAATCAATCTATGACACGCAGGATCGCCGGTAACCACAAATCAACCCCGGGCCAGGATGAGGTCCCGCCCTAGCATACTTGCCGTTACACGGCGCAAGCTACCAGGCATATCCGCCCTCATGGACGACAGAGGGAGGTCAAACATCAATGATTACATGAATACACCAACATCGGGTGGGGGGGTCCTGGTCGTGCGTGGCAAAGCCATAACCCAGCAGCGGCAAGGATGGGGCGCAAGACATGATGCGATATCCAATACTTTCTGCTGATCGGTTCGGATTGCGATCATACAGACTTCAAACTAGTGTACGGTCTATTTGCTCTTTCTCTATTTCAGGATGGACAAGAGGACTGTGGTTCGTCTTTGCCAGCCTTCGAAATGTCTCTGTCCTCACTCTGCTTGTCCATAAAGACGGCAGAGAGAAGGATTCTACAACAACACCTACCACGTGCGTAGACCCCTGCCGGCAACCAGTGACTCACGTCCTACCTGAAGGCAGACAAGATACCTGATACGTCCACAGCAAAGTGCCGTCGCCATCCATGGACATGCCCACGGCGTCCGAGTCCTCCTCATCCTCGGCTTGCTCTGCCGCCCAGGTCCCGTAGGTGTAGCCCACGAAAACCATGGAGGTGCCGTCGATTCCGGTCGCCGCTCCTTCGAAGCCATCGTCGTACGGTGTCCCATCCTGCACAGGTAACGCCGTATTCCGCCCGAGACGCGTGCAAGCACGGGTTTCCAACTGTTCGGCAAGCCGCGATGAAACGTGTTCTTCGACACTCGACAGAAGTAAACCGCAGCCCAAGCGATACGCCGCACCAACCGCACACACTCATGATGGTATGGTATAGGGCTACCACCGGACCCACAGCGACAGGGTGCCACTCTTCGTAGGGTAGGGGAACACTGTCAGGTACATGTTGTCCGTCCAAGGCAATTAGTCCGAACACTTCTCCTGCACTTCAGTGCACTTTCGTCGGAGTAGGTGGGCGCGTTCCACAATCTCAAGACAAAAAATACGCGCCTTTCGGGGCGCAACTGGCTACGGAGAATATTTGTTGTGTGCTTTTGTTCCCTGCATCGAGATGCTGAAAAAATCGTGAAACTAATCCTGTCCATTTTTCCTGGGGGTGCATTGTTGGCCGAAACAATCTCAAACAGAATTTGGACAGTTTTCGAAAGTTGCCACCTTCCGGATATAAAAAGAGCAGATCTAATATACAGTAGGGTGTATACTTGTTTGCTTTTTCTGCCATCACCAACCCTTCGAAATCAAATCAGAGCGTGGCAAGCGATTCCTCTTGAAACCCTGCAAGTTTAGTTTTGTTCCGATATTTCATAGAATAAGTGATATTTAGCTATGTAAACAACGTTCTGTCTGAAACCCCCATGTTCCAGATTTGATTTTACATGGCTTTAGCGTAGAACACCTCAATTCGATGGTTGCAACGTCTTTGTGCGCCTTGTCCTGGCAATCACTTTTTCGCGTTCCTGGTTCATCGCTTGAATCGTACACGTAAAACGTCACGTACCAGGAAACCGTGATTCAGCAAGTTGTCCTAGACGGACCATAGCTCTCCACGTCCTATAAATAGTACTTCTATTTCGTAGCACGCAGAGGGATCGGTCTCTTGATCGTAGTTATCAATAAAGCAAGGTGTGCGATCGATATCTGATTCCATTTTGGCACTCATGTCGTACACAACATGTGCGAAAATAGAAACCCATGAGACGCGTTCACAGCAGCCAGCCACACTAATGCATAGGAGTGAGCGCACCGAATATGACGCTTCAAGCGTGTCTTTGCCGCATAAAAGTATAACATTGAACGTGCGGGCACCGTGAGACTTACCTAGGGAAGGACCCGCGTCGCGGGAATACTTCGGAAGGGAAATATGATGACGCGTCGCCGGCATCGTGGCTATTCACCGGATCGGAGTTGCTCAGTTGGACAGGCGCCAGACTGTGCGGTGCAGATAGACAAAGAGCTATGGCTAACATACGAATAGACGACACGACAAACAAAAGGGCTTTGTTGTCGTTTTCAAAGACCATACCTGCCAAGTCCAGTCAAGCACACCCTCTTCGGTCAGCTTGACAAGTGCAAAGTCTTGCTCCCCCGCGTTAGTTTCGGCGTAGTCACCGTCTGTGACTCCGGCGAGCACCACAGAGCCGTCCGAGAGGGCTGCCACGCCCCATGCTGAGCTTATACTGAATTCGCTGCCGTCCTGTTTAGTCGTGAACACCCAAACAATAATCACCTCCAGAAAACCTAAAGAATGGATCGATGCCAAAGTCATCCCTACTAGTCCGTCAACGGCCAAAGGCCGGGTATGGTGTGGGAGGGTTAATCACTCAAACGTGCGGCAGCGGCTTCCAGTGGTGGGAATGGCTGCGTTGAACAGCCCGTGACCGAGCATCCCTCGGTCTCACCAGCTTCCTACGGATAGCTCCAACGTTTTCACCGCTGGACACCACCACGCCCCGCACGACGTTGTGCAAGTGAACGTTGCTTTCGGAGTAGCGAGCACTATCTCGGAGCAATCGCGAGACTCCCATCGGGGTAGTCGCCGATACACGCACGAACACGAACCTGAAACCGCCAAAGCTCTGAACCATCTTCGTTCAGGGCCACCGAAAAGAAATCGGCGTACCCGGTCAACTCGCCGTCCCAGTCTCCGTCGGTACTGCCCCCAATCACGATCGATCCGTCCGCTCGCGAGGCGGCCCCGCGCGACACAACGCTGTATGATGGCACCCCCGCCTGACCAAGGTACGGAGATATGCACGGCTAAGTTGTCAGATGCCGACGCATCAATGGAATGGCTTGAAATCGTTGACGAATTCTTAAGCCGGGGCGATACGGTTGGGTGTCCGGGTACACGTCAAATTACATGATGGCTGCTATCGTGTTGTCACACGCCGAGATTCCAACTCGCGGAGGGACGAATTAAAAGGCTGCGGAGCCACTCGTGGACTACGGTGGAAGAGAGCGCTTGCTAGAGAATACTCCCAGCCGAGTGAAATCACTCCGCGTCAAACTCACGGGGAAGGAACCACCTGCGAACAGAGATAGGCCGTTGCCAGCCGCGGATTCCAACTGTTTGGGGTGTCGGCGGGTGTCCTTTACTATCACGCTCATGGACTCTCGTCGAGAGCATTTCGGCACAAAGGAGTGATTCAAGTTCCTAGCATTAGTAAGAGCTTAACGAGTGAGAGATGGGGGCGAGGCCCAGCGGAAAGTCGCGCGTCAGGTCCATCACACCCATACAGTGTTCAGCCCATCACCGGCGTCACCCCCATCGTCCTGCACCACGCAGGGACCACTGCGTACAGTCGAACGGGCGCTGGGATGCTCCGCCCCAGCGGACAATGTCGCGATCCTGCCGCCGCCGCCGCCGCCCCCGCCGTCACTCCTGCTGCCGCTGTCTTCGTCGCCACCGTCCAACCAACAGCTATCCTCATAGCATTCGTCCTCCGCCTCTTGCGCTGCTGGTGCCAGTGTAGCTGCTCATGTGGGCGCTTCGACTGCCTTCCCCAATGGACACAACGGGGGCAATAATGTCGCCAGTCGACGACGCCACCAGTGCCACCGTTCCAGCTGCTGACGGCGCCCAGGACATTCCCCCCACCGAGGCATCGGAGAGACCGCCAATAACTGTAGCCGACGCCACTGTTGGTTCCCCTGCTGAAGCCACGCCAGCTGACGACGCAAGTGATTCGGCCGGCTGCACATCCAGCGTTGGTTTCTGGGCCACAAATCCTCTCCGCGTTTCGGCAACCTCTTCCCTCATTGCTTTGGCAAGCAACTCCGCTCGAGATCTTCACCCGACCGGCGGCTACACCCGTCGTTTTTCGCGCCGTCGCCGAAGCCGCGGCTCCAGGTGCAAACATCATCACCTCGACCGCTTCCCCCGCCACCTCAGCGGGGACAACATTGACGCCGGTCGTCGTTCCCGCCGACGCGGCCGCCACCGACACCGTCGCTCCAGTCGCGAGTGCCTGCGTCCCGGCCGCCCCCCCCGCCGCCGCAGCAGGGAAACCGTCACCACCGGTCGCCTGCTCCCACCACACGTGCTGCCCCCCATGCCACTGCTCCTGCTGCAGACACGGGGAGCAGCGCCTGCGATCGATTCCTTAGCCAGTACTGTTGCGGGTGTTCCGACTGTCTCCCCCCTACAACCAATCTGCGGGAGCAGTTCCAAGGTCACCGGTCCCGCTGCCCTTTGTCCCCGCTGAGCGTCGTCGCTTCAGCTGCTGATTCGGCACCGCGTCGTTGCCGCTCCCCTTGAGACCTTCCCCATTACCGACGTGTGCGCGCTGTGGGATGCGGCCAATGATTGTGCAACACGTGCGGCGCCGATGCGATGGCCATGCTCACGGCAGGCAGCGCAGTTACCTTATGAGTGTGTGCCCATGACACCATTTATGCCTAAAAAAGAAGCGCCTCTTGTGAGTATACGGCGTTGCTTCCACAGCAGTCATAGAGCTCCCCAGGTACCCACCATCGGGAAGTAAGGAGGAGTTGGTGGTGTACTACAGATGGTCGCTCTGGATGAACCCGCTGCCGCTGCTGCCGCTGCCGCCATCACCGCCGTTGTTGCAACACATAACCAACGCCGCCATGACCGTACCCAAAACCACCGACGGTCATCCCATGTGGGTCGTGAGACGGTGTCACTGCTCCCGCCGTTGACGCCTACGCTTTGCCCAATTGCTTGATCACGACGTTGTTAGCGTATGCCGTGCGAACAGCGTTTTCCACTTTTGCTCGTGAAATGGCGGGGTCGGCCAGGATGGACTTGCCTTAGACATCGTGGTGTAAAAGCTGACGGACAATGATGTACCAACAGCACTCATGATGCTGACGAATCTGTCTACTTGGCGAACAAAGGCTTTGCGCCCTCGCCAGGATTCACATCAACGGTTTCAAGTAGTCTCACAAGCATTGTCTTCCCAGCATCCAGAGTAGGCCAAAACCATTCGTGGATCAAGCCTCATGCCGCAAGGACGCAGCTGCAAGCAACCAACCGTGCTTCAATGCCCACGCCGCAGGTCACCTCTAGTAGAAATCCCCATGCTCGTTGCTGTGCCGTAACGAGCGCCGCATCATGAACTCAGTTCAGATATGTGCGATCCGTACGACTAATGACGAGGACGGTGGTTAGCGGGGTGTCTTCAAGCGTCTGTTCCAAACCCTCACTTGTCAGGAACTCCGCATTCTCCGCAACCAGTGCGCGGCTATTGTCGACATTTTGGGCAGTTTGTGACTGCTGCTGTAACCTTTCAAAGCCGCCATTCATCATGCTCACCCGCTGGTGTACCGAGCCCAGCTCCACCAGTTTGTCCCGGCAGTCGTTGTTCCTGGAGCCATCGCTCTTGCAGCTCATTTTCTTTCTCCGCTCCCCATTCTTCCCTCCCAACATCTAGTTTTCTTCCTTCGCCAAATCATAGCATTTGTAGATCATTCGGCCTATGCTCGAATTTGTTCTTCTCTGCCTCCGCCATACCTAACACAAATATTTCCTTTTCTTGTAGCTCTCCGGCCTCGTTCTTACATTCAACGTCTTGTTCAGACCTTTGGCGCTCGCTCAATCACCGCCGCAGCAGTTGTCCTTTTGTACGTCAACCGTTATTCCACCCCAAAAGAAGCACACCCCATCTCTTGTTCTTGTAGCTCGCCGGCCTCGTTCTCGCCGCAGCAGCTCTTACTTTAGTCAGGACCCTTGATGCCCGCTGGCAGTTACCGCAACAGCAGCTATCCTTTCCTCCAAATTCCTTTCCCTGGATCTCCTTGACACCCGCGCGAATTTCCCGCCATAGCAGCAGTCCTTGTATTCCAAAACACAGAGGTGCCTACCTCTCGAACCTTTTCCCTATCGACTGTCAGCTGACTCCACGAAACTGTGTTTGCGCCGAGTCCACTTCGTTATCACGCTCGCGGGCTCTTGAGCACCTCTGCACAAAGGATGTGACTCAAGTTCCTTGTGTTTACAGAGAGTTGAACGAGTTAGAGACAGGGGCGAGACCAAGCAGAAAGTCGTGCATCAAATCCATCACATCCATACAACCAATATCCACGTACAGTCGAGGGCCCGCTATAGTGCGGGTATGTGCCAAGCAAAAACACCCGCACTATAGCGGGCACCCGCACAATATGATTTCGGTCCTGAAAAGTGCGGAAAGGCGCACTATTCGGGTCCTCAGAACCCTGAAAAGTGCGCCTCCCCGCACTATTCGCGAAATGACTAGGACAAAGTACTGTACGCAACAAGCGAGGGACAGAATATGATGTGTGGCCTTTCTAGCAGCGTGTAGACGCCTGCGATTCGTGGGTGAGAGTAGAACACACAACCCAGCGGTGGGACCACATCCGTCCATGGCAGAACAGATCACAGCTACACACTTAGTGCATGACATGTACATCGCGAGAGCATGTTTGTGTCCGAAGTTATGTCTCAGCCCGTGCTGTTGCCCCAAGCCATTGTACGTTGGATACCCTTGAATCATTTTATATTATTGAGAGGCTAGCATTTAGACGCCAAGAGCTTCACGTAGAAAAGGGAACACGCACACGCACACACAACCGAGGAACTTGAAAAACAACTTTCAGAACCACTCAGAACTCGCGCCGATACCCACCCACAGGTGTGAAAAGCAAAGGGGGGAACACTTCAAAAGCAGAGACGACACAAGCAAGGACCCAGCTTCTCAGTTCCTTTCACAAAATGTCTCGACAACATTTGTGTGGGGCTGGGTGGGGTGACACACGAGGGAAGAAAAAAGCGGCAAAAATCCGCAAAAAATTAGCCCACATTCCACACATGTACTGCTGTGATGCGGTAGGGGTGTGTGTGTGTGTGTTTTTATTATTAGCATCGACCGCGCTAACCGGCTGACCAATGAAAAGACGTCAGTCTTAGTGCAGTTGAAAACACCAAACACTTCTATCTGTGTGTGCTTTTATTATTAACATCGACCGCGCTAACCGGCTGACCAATGAAAAGACGTCAGTCTTAGTGCAGTTGAAAACACCAAACACTTCTATCTGTGTGTGCTTTTATTATTAACATCGACCGCGCTAACCGGCTGACCAATGAAAAGACGTCAGTCTTAGTGCAGTTGAAAACACCAAACACTTCTATCTGTGTGTGCTTTTATTATTAACATCGACCGCGCTAACCGGCTGACCAATGAAAAGACGTCAGTCTTAGTGCAGTTGAAAACACCAAACACTTCTATCTGTGTGTGCTTTTATTATTAACATCGACCGCGCTAACCGGCTGACCAATGAAAAGACGTCAGTCTTAGTGCAGTTGAAAACACCAAACACTTCTATCTGTGTGTGCTTTTATTATTAACATCGACCGCGCTAACCGGCTGACCAATGAAAAGACGTCAGTCTTAGTGCAGTTGAAAACACCAAACACTTCTATCTGTGTGTGCTTTTATTATTAACATCGACCGCGCTAACCGGCTGACCAATGAAAAGACGTCAGTCTTAGTGCAGTTGAAAACACCAAACACTTCTATCTGTGTGTGCTTTTATTATTAACATCGACCGCGCTAACCGGCTGACCAATGAAAAGACGTCAGTCTTAGTGCAGTTGAAAACACCAAACACTTCTATCTGTGTGTGCTTTTATTATTAACATCGACCGCGCTAACCGGCTGACCAATGAAAAGACGTCAGTCTTAGTGCAGTTGAAAACACCAAACACTTCTATCTGTGTGTGCTTTTATTATTAACATCGACCGCGCTAACCGGCTGACCAATGAAAAGACGTCAGTCTTAGTGCAGTTGAAAACACCAAACACTTCTATCTGTGTGTGCTTTTATTATTAACATCGACCGCGCTAACCGGCTGACCAATGAAAAGACGTCAGTCTTAGTGCAGTTGAAAACACCAAACACTTCTATCTGTGTGTGCTTTTATTATTAACATCGACCGCGCTAACCGGCTGACCAATGAAAAGACGTCAGTCTTAGTGCAGTTGAAAACACCAAACACTTCTATCTGTGTGTGCTTTTATTATTAACATCGACCGCGCTAACCGGCTGACCAATGAAAAGACGTCAGTCTTAGTGCAGTTGAAAACACCAAACACTTCTATCTGTGTGTGCTTTTATTATTAACATCGACCGCGCTAACCGGCTGACCAATGAAAAGACGTCAGTCTTAGTGCGGTTGAAAACACAAAACACTTCTATCTACCATGAACTGGGACCCCGTGAGGGGGCAGCATGGGGGAGGCTAAACTATCCTTCGGATTAAAAACAGAAACAGCAGCAACAGACGAAAAATGCACGCGTCTACCAAGGCTATTACCTAGTACTCGAGTTCGTTTAGGCTTACTTTCACCAGTATCCTCCTTGTTTTCGCTACCATCATTCTCATCCTCATTTTGACAAGAAGAATCTGTGTGTGTGTGTTTTTATTATTAGCATCGACCGCGCTAACCGGCTGACCAATGAAAAGACGTCAGTCTTAGTGCGGTTGAAAACACAAAACACTTCTATCTACCATGAACTGGGACCCCGTGAGGGGGCAGCATGGGGGAGGCTAA